CATTAGATATTTTATATCAGTGCAAACATACATGATTTATTTCATGTCTGTCTTATTTCAGTTAGCATAGTGTCCTCAAGATTCAACCTTGTTTTAGCATGTAATAGCGTTTCCTTCTTTTTTAATGCTGCATAATATTCTATTGCATATTCCACATTTTATTCATCTATTCACCCAGATGGACATTAGGGTTGCTTCCACCTCTTGGCTATTGTTAATTATGATACAAAGAATATTGGTGTGCAGATAACTTCTTCAAGATTCTGCTTTGAATTGTTTTGGATGCATACCCAACAGTGGGGTTTTAAAATCATATAATAATTCTATATTTTATATGATTCTATTTTTATGTGATTTTTTGGATGAACCTCTCTACTATTTTTTGTAATGGTTGCATCATTTTAAATTTCCACCAACACAAGGATTCCAGTTACTCCACGTACACGCCAACATTTGCTGTTTCTTATTCTTTTGATAGAAGCCATTCTATAGTGTTTAAGGTTTTGATTTGCATTACTCTTATGATTCTACAGCTGACCATGTCTCATGTAATAGACTGGAAGTCACAGTTCCACCTTTACTGGAACTGCCCTGAATCCAGATGAGAACTTTAGGGTAATTTCTGCCATACTCTTGTGTGCTTTCTTGACCTTCAATCTCTTGCAAAATCCCTCTTCTGTTCTAAGATTTTAAAAATATACCTGTTATTTTCCATCTGTATATCTTCTTTGGTAAGATTCGAAAATTTTGTTCATTTTTAAATTGGGTTGTTTCTTATTTTTGAGTTTCAAAAGCTTTTTATATACTCTAGTTAAGTCTTTTATAAGATGTGTGATTTGTAAATATTTTTCCAGTCTATAGCTTTTTTTTCATTATTTTAACAATGTCTTTCTTTGAGCTAATTTTTTTCACTTAAATGAAGTCCAACTTATTATTTTTCTCCTGTATGGATTATGCTTTTGCTCTCATATCTAAAAACTCATCACCAACACCAGGAATACAGAGGTTTTTCTCCTGTGTTTCATTTTAGATATTTTGTGGTTTTATGTATTACCTTTAAGTCTATGATTTCTTTCCACAGTTGTGCAAGATGTGATGTCTGTATTGAGATTCATCTTTTTGCCTATGGACAAATTGTTCTATCACCATCAATTGAAATGACGACCATTGCTTATGAAATGACGACCCTTTCTCCATTGAATTGTCATTGAATCTTTTTCAAAAATCAGCTGAAGGTCTATTTCTGGGCTCTTTTTTCTGTTTCATTTGTCTGTATGTCCATTTTATTTTGCCAATATCATTCTGTCTTCTTTATGGTAGCTTTAGAGGGAAATCTTGAAATTAGATAAGGCAATTTCTCCATCTTGGTTCTTTGTTCTCAAAATTTTCATGGGTATTTTATGTCCCTCACCACAGACATACGTTATTTTATTGTGCTTTACTGAATTGCAATTCACACCTGTGCCAAGCAAGTTACCTGTGCCTTGTACAACAGCAAGTGCTCGTTTTGTATCTGCGTTTGCATTTTTTAGCAATAAAGCATTTTTTAAACTAAGGTTGAATAGTTTTAGACATAATTTGCTTTACATATTCAATGAACTATAGTATAGTGTAAACGTAACTTTTATATGCACTGGGAAACCAAAAAATATATATCACCTGCTTCATTGAAATATTTGCTTTATTGCAATGGTTTGGAAATGAGCCTGCAGCATCTCTGAGGTCTGTGTTTTAAAATCTTTACATGACCCTTGATGAGCACATTAAGTGATAATACTTATGTGTTCAATTTTGAAGTAGTAGTTTTTATTAATATTTCTTTCACTTTGTTATCTTTATTTTTGCCTTTTTAAATTCTTACTAGTTGATATTGGAAGTCCTGGAAATAGCTTCTCTGTTTCTTATTTATTCTTTCAGATCTTCCACTTTTAAAACACTTTTGTGTTTAATTCACAGAAACTTTCTTAGCTTTGATGTTCAACCTCACTAATTAATCCTTCAGATATAGCCATACTCTTATTCAGGATAATGATTTACTTAAGAATAAACAGTTACATGATCATTTATATGATCTATAATTGATTCATTTTTTACAATTTTCTGTCTTTTCTTCACTAAGAACTCTCTGCTCTTCACCACGTGCTAGCATTGTCACACAGTGATGAAGCACATTGCTTCTCTCCCGGGCTCTTACACTCATTCAGTGTGTTATCTTTGGAGAGTTACTCAATCTCTTTTTCTTGAAATGAAAAATAACTTTTCTGAGGATAAAAATGTTACAAAAAACATACAAAATGCTTTGGACAATGCTAGGCATTTGATAAGCCCTCATTAAGCGTTAGAAAATTATAGAATTAGTTTCTTATTACATTCAATCCCTACTCCTTGTAATATCTATTTTTATTTTTCTAAAGATATTAAATATACTTATCTTAAGGTCCTGTTTTATTCACACATGGTGCAGTTTGTATATGTGTTCTCTCCAAATCTCATGTTGAAATGTGGTCCTCAGTGTTGGAGGTGAGGTGCAGTGGGAGGTGTTTGGGTCATGGGGGTGGATCCCTCATGGCTTGGTGCTGTCCTTGCAATGGTGAGTGAGTTCTCCCGAGATCTGGTCATGTAAAAGTGTGTGGCACTTCCCCCCGACCCCCACTCTCCTTCTTGCTTTTGCTTTCACCATGTGCAAGTTCCTGCTTCACCTTCTGCCATGAGTTTAAAAAGAACTCCCTAGGCCTAGCCAGAAGCCAAGCAGATGCTGGTCCCATGCTTGCAGAGCCTGCAGAACGATGGGCCAACTAAACCTCTTTTAATGATCGCCATTCTAACTGGTGTGAGATGGTATCTCATTGTGGTTTTGATTTGCATTTCTCTGATGGCCAGTGATGATGAGCATTTTTTCATGTGTCTGTTGGCTGTATGCATGTCTTCTTTTGAGAAGTGTTTGTTCATATCCTTTGCCCACTTTTTGATGGGGTTGTTTGTTTTTTTCTTGTAAATTTGTTTGAGTTCTTTGTAGGTTCTGGATATTAGCCCTTTGTCAGATGAGTAGATTGCAAAAATTTTCTCCCATTCTGTAGGTTGCCTGTTCACTCTAATGGTAGTTTCTTTTGCTGTGCAGAAGCTCTTTAGTTTAATGAGATCCCATTTGTCAATTTTGGCTTTTGCTGCTGTTGCTTTTGGTGTTTTAGACATGAAGTCTTTGCCCATGCCTATGTCCTGAATGGTATTACCTAGGTTTTCTTCTAGGGTTTTTATGGTTTTGGGTCTAACATTTAAGTCTCTAATCCATCTTGAATTAATTTTTGTATAAGGAGTAAGGAAAGGATCCAGTTTCAGCTTTCTACTTATGGCTAGCCAATTTTCCCAGCACCATTTATTAAATAGGGAATCCGTTCCCCATTTAAAGAGGTTTAACAGAGAACGCCACAAAGATAAACCTCTTTTTTAAATAAATTACCCAGTCTCAGGTAGTTCTTTATAGGAACACGAGAACAGCCTAATACAACACACCTCATGATTTTCTCAGGAGTAATTTGAGAAATCACTCCTTTTGTTTGTTGAATTCGTTATTGTCCCTTCTTGGTGTAGATACCTCGGAAGTTAGATTTTTATTGTGGACTTGCCATCGGAGTGGAGATTGTGTCAGACCTTTTGTTACCTCTGTTTTGCATTCAATCTGGGAGAATGCATTGAATTTACCATAGTAGCTTACGTTAGTTTCAGGGGAATAATGGGATGAGATTTGCCTCCAGTCTGGGTGATGAGCAGATCGCCTTCTGAGCCTGTGTGCTCCGTTTCTTTCTGCCATTTCCAGTCATAGGCAGTATTGCCCTGTTTCTTTCTACCCAGTTCACAGACTGTTCCAGCTTAAAATCAGAGATCTCTCTTGACATTGGTTTGCCTTGGGAGAGAAATGGTGGGTTTAGTAGGATAGACCTCTGTCTGCATCTGTAGACATAGGCCAGTTACGGTCCCTGTAGAATTTCATGGCATCACCTGCTGTTTCTGGATGCCGTCACAATAAGATCATGAGCATTGTTAGTACCCAATTTGTGATAGTTTAGAACTCTTATCCCTGGAGATGTGGTCTTCCTCATTGGCTTCTTGTCTGCTTTCAGTCTCTTAGCTCTTTTTCCTCAGTTTTACATGTTGAGAGAGAAATGCTAAATGTCTCTGAATAGGTATGACTGCATATATGTATGTATAAAAAATTTATTAGTGGTTCATTATATTTTGTGTGGCATGTAAGCCTAAAGTCATGTCTAATTTATCTTGACTAAAAATGCATGCTTTTTTCTAAATAGGAGTAATTAATATAGTGCTAATAATGCTAAAGTTATATATATATATATATATATATACACTAAAATGTTCTCTTCATTTTTATTTTATTTCATTTTATTTTTATTTACATAGGTTTTTGGGGAGCAGGTGGTATTTGGTTACATGAGTAAGTTCTTTAGTGGTGATTTGTGAGATTTTGATGCACCCATCACCCAAGCAGTATACACTGAACCCAGTTAATAGCCTTTTGTCCTTCACTTCCTTCCTACCCTTTTCCCCTGAGTCCCCAAATTCCATTGTGTCATTCTTACGCCTTTGCATCCATAGCTTAGCTCCCACTTATGAGTGAGAACATACGATGTTTGGTTTTCCATTCCTGAGTTACTTCACTTAGAATAATAGTCTCCAAACTTACCCAGGTCACTGCAAACGCCATTAATTCCTTTCTTTTTATGGCTGAGTAGTATTCCATCATGTATATATACCAGTTTCCCTTCACTTTTATTTTAAAAAGTCATCCCTGCACATTAAATTGGTCACATTGTTCCTGAATTTATTAAGATACTAAACTCTTACTATTTAGGATAATAAAGTCTAAAGACAATTTTCATTTTTAATGGATAGAGTGACTCATTTTTATTAACTTGGGCGAATATTGTTTTATTTTATATATTTCTGATTTCCTTCATCATCTTTACTGATGTGTTTTATTTTAGATGATTTACATCATTACAATTGATGGACAACCTTACACTCTACATCTCAGAAAACAGTAAGATGTGATTTTTTTTTCATTAAGGAAAAGGGAAAATCTTTAAGTTTAGATTTTACAGCCTTAAAGTTTTTGTGCAGTATTTAAATTCAGGAATGCTGTATAAAGTAGACTTGTTTTATCGGTTGACTTCCCAATTTAGGATTCACTAGGTCTTGAATATCAGATCTGTAGAGCTCTTTCATTTTAATTTTCACTTGGTATTTTCAAATTATGAAATAAATTACATACTTGTAAAATCTCTGCTTGCATGTAAGCCATTGAACCCAAGAACTGCAAGTTATATGTTAAGTATATCTGGTGTGAAGTCAAATATAGTTACATGTCAAGTGATTATTGGTGGGAAATTCAACTAGTAACACAGTTTTTATGATGTGCTAATTACATGTGTGTCTATTTTTAACAAGTTTATACAAGCTACTTTACATGTAAAATTCTCTAAAGTATAAAATTCAATAATTTTATGACTTTATGCACTGTTGCCACCATCAAATATAAATCAGTTTTGGAACATTCTTTCCCCACATAAGAACCCTCATGTTTTTTCAGTTAGTCTTTGTTCTCAGTCACAACTCTAGGCAACAATCTACTGTTTGTATCTTGATTTATATTTTCTCAAAATCTTATAAAGATAAGTTAAGTAGCCTCTTCTCTGTCTGCATCTTCAAACATATATATTTATAGCAACTGTCCCTTGTCTGCCTGCTTCCTTGTAATTGAACAAGGCTAGACGAAATTATTCTAACTTAATTCATGACTACCCTACTTAAATCACATTTACTTTTCTTCCTGTACAACTGCACAAAAGTGTTTTCTGATAGAATCATCAGTGGTCCTCATGTTTTTGAATGCCCTGTTTGTGTTTTAGTTTTAATTTTTCTTAACCAGTTGGCAGCATTGATCATAGTTGACCGGTGTTCCCTCCATAAAATACTGTCTCCATTTGGCTTCCAGAATACCACAGACTCCTGGTCCTGATTTTACCCATTGTGGGTACTTCAGTGCTCTCTCTCTCTCTCTGTCTCTCCTTTCTCTATCTTTTTTTTTTTTTAATTCTTTCTCATCTCTCAAATCTTAAAGTACTCCATGGTACTATTTCTGCATTCTGTTTTTTTATTTTTCTCTAGCTATATTCAATCACCTGGTTGTCTAATTCTTGTGACTTTAAATGCCATCCACATATTGGTTGCTCCCAAATTAACATCTCTACCTTATTCCTCTTCAATAAACGCCATATTCACTTACCTGAGTACTTAGTTGATAACTAAGTATTTACTAGGATCCTCATAGGTAACATGTCCAAGTGGAATTCTGACTTTCTTCTCAAATTTGTCTTTCCCACAGTCATGTCAGGAATTGGCAAATATATCAGTTTTTCAGGGAAAAAAAAAACATTTAAAAAGTCGGAGTCATACTTGACATCTTTGTGTCATTTTCCCCTATTTCCAGTGGATTATAAACCCATGTATTCAAAATATATCTATATCTATATCTAAGCCCTACAAAATATATCCAGAATTAGACCTCCCCCATTGATGCTATCTTAGTTCAAAGCACTGTCATGTCTTACATCTAAATGGTTTCCCTGCTTCTTCTGCTTATTTGTCCTGCAGATGCTTCTCAACACAGCACTGATTTTTATTAAAACATTGATCTGATGCTGTCTTTATCTGCTGAAACCCTCCAATGCTTCTCACCTCTGTTACACCATCTCTTACTATAGTCTCTCTTCATCACTCCACACTCCAGTCATATTGCCCCCTAGTTGTTCCTTGTTTGTATGAAGCATATTTCTGCTTGAGCGTCCTTGCGTTTTCTATTAATTCTGTCTAGAATAACACTTCTGTGAAAATCCATGTGGTTTATTCCTCAGGTATTTAATCATCTATTCAGAGAGATTTTCCATGCCATCTTATCTACATTTTGTAACCACCCTCCCCAGGCCTTATCTATTATCATCTAATTACTAATACTGTGTGCCCCTGGCTGTCACAAAGACTAAGGCTTGTTATCTCTTGTTTATTGCTGAATCCCAGCACCTACCTGAGGGTCTGTCAGATAGTGAACACTCAGTACAATTGTTGAACGTCATCATACACAGCCATACACACATATATCTGATGTAGAGGAGTCCCAGAGTCTGTCCCAGTGCTGAGAAAGTCTAAACTCTTTGATTCACCACTTCTATGAATTTCAAGTGTTATACCTCACTAGAGTTACTCTAATTAAATCATGCAATTATATAAAACTAATTGAATTATGTTACATAAAATGTAATATTTGTTTTTAACATTTATATTAAAATTATGACTCAAACTTTTTTATTATTTCTTGCTTGCTTTTAGATCATTTTTACCCCAGAAATTTTTGGTTTATACATATAATGAAGCTGGATCTTTGCATTCTGAGTCTCCATATTTTATGGTAAAGTAAGATACCTTATGTTTTTTGTTAAAGTGGATATATTATTACCGTTAGATTGTGTTTCATGTTGACAGTTTAATACAAATGTTTTATCTTTACTGACGTGTTACTGACTTTTGTACATAGAAATGGCATGTGATAGAGATGAAACCCAGGTACAAGAGAATACTCACAGAGGCCTAGGTGGTGCAAAGTAAAGAGAGTTGTCACAAATCTTTTTTTTTCTGAAAATATGCATTAATAATTCTGCATGATTCATGATCTTATTAAATCTTTTAATATTTTGAATCTTCTGATGTTTGACAATACATTTTTTATTCACAACAAATTTATATACTTGCCTTTCTATACTGTTTTTCAGATGCATTGCCATTACCAAGGATATGCTGCCGAATTTCCAAATTCATTTGTGACACTCAGTATATGTTCTGGTCTCAGGTAATAGCACCTTATAAGAAATCTATAGATGGAGAATTTAAGATATACTTTAAAACAAAGCTTAGTGACCAGCAGATGCAAATCACGAAAGTTTAAGGGAAATCAAAATGGAAAGTTTTCTTTATAACAGCTTTATTCTATTTATATTAATGTTAATACTTAGACCTAAGGGCCTATTCCTATGAAATCAATCCAGGGATATCATGGAAAATGGAATAGTTTCATGAAAGAAAACTTTAAAATATCTCCTTAAGTGTGATTGTTGTATTCTGCATCTGTTTTCTCAAATAGTGTGGAAAATGGCATTAATTAGTTATATAAATATAATAGGAAAATATAGTATGTTCTCATCTTAATACCAGATATAAAACAACTAATTAAGAAGATCCCTCAAGAATAAAGGATAGGGAAAAGTGATTTTTGTTACTGATTCTGGGAGACTCACTTATGATCTGTTCATCAGGAAAAGAAGGATCCAGAGCAGAGAAAAAATGTTCCCTCTAACTTTCCTTTGGTTTCAATTGCCTGATTTCCAGAATTTGTTCACATCAACTCAGAAACTTGGCATTCTGTGAATGTGGTTTTTATAGATATCAACCTATTTAGATATATAGTCTACATATATGCTGTCCCTTATCAAACCTCTGTAAGAACAGGAACATTATTCCTGGGATTCTCAACAAATATATTTGTTTGTGGCAAATTTGGCCTTAATTAATATGATTGCCTTACAAAAATAGTCTTCATTGCATTTAGATCTTTAAAATGTAAGCAAAAGGAAGCCAAATATGGTGGCTCTTACTAATGATAAACTGCCCCCCCCCCAAAAAAAAATGGAAAAAGAAAATGGACTTAAAATGTGTTCTTTAGTATAGTTTTTATTTCTTAAGCCATTTCAGATTATCATTTTGATGGGATCATTTGTGGGATTTTTATAACTATTTTCTTATGCTTTCTAAATTTTCAGGGGATTTCTCCAGTTTGAAAATGTCAGTTATGGAATTGAACCATTAGAATCTTCAGCAAGATTTGAGCATATAATTTATCAATTGAAAAATAATGATCCAAATGTATCAATTTTAGCAGAAAATTACAGTCATATTTGGCAGAAAGACCAGTCCTACAAAGTTCCTTTAAACTCACAGGTGACTGTCATCATTCTGATGTTATGACATACTAGAAAATTGCCTGTGTAGTTTTCTTTTAAATCATGAAAGGAATTTAGTTAGCTACTGAGTAGGAATATTAAATTGTATATATTTTTCTACCTTTAAATAAAACATTGAAACTTCATCTAAAATACTTGGAAAGTTACATATTTCAAGCTTAATATTTTATGATGTATTTTGTAGCCCTAATTTTTATATTTTTTTCAAGCCAAATGGATACTATTGAAAAAGTTTAGAAATGCAGAAAGAACAGTCACTGTTATTCCAATACCTTGGTAAAATTACTTTTAATATTTTGATATCTATCTTACATACTATCTGAACATATCTTTCTAAAATACACAGCCATTTGCATGTTGCTCAGTGCTCTTAATTTGCTGATAGACTAGGTATAGAATTCTTGCTTGACAGTTTCTTTCTTTCAGCACTTCGAATATTTCAATCCATCACCATGTGGCCTCTGTTTTTTTCTGATAAAAATATTCTGTTATTCTTATTGAGAATTCCTCGGACAAAATGAGTTGCTTCTCTTTTGTTTCTTTTGAGATTCTTTCTTTGCCTCTGTCTTATGGCAGTGTGCTTATCATGTGTCTATGAATGGATCTCTTTGTGTTTACCATACTTGGAGCTCAAAGCACTTCTTGGGTCTGTAAATGGATGTGTTTTGAAATTAAATTAGCTTGTGTGAATCCTGAAAAAAAAAGAAAAATCCGTGAAGCTATGAAACCAACTATCTGTATAGTTCCTAGAGACTTCACACTTTTTTTACTACTTTAAAATTTGTCTCGATTTTGTAGTTCATTATTGCCAAAAGTATTTACTGAGATAAATAAAAAAGCATTCTTCTCAGGTTTCTGGTTTCAGGTGAGATATGGAAAGCTGGAAACAGCATTGCTTCCACATATACAGCAGAGTAAAATTTAGACCAACTGCACCTTAATGATTTTTATGGAATACATCAAAAACCTGAGATTGCAGATTAAACCATTAACAAATATGTGGAGAAAAAAAGTGCCTATAGGTTGTGATGGAAACCAAATGTGTAAAAAACAGAGTTTTTCTTTTTCCTTTTTTTTTGTGACCACAATTAATTTGGTATCAGTACAAAATAACCTGCTACAACTATAAGATGTTCTTTGTAAGCCTCATGATAACCACGAAGCAACATTTTTAACAGACCCACTAAAAGTGGAAAGCAAGAAATCAAAACATACTTGATACAGAAAAAAATCACTTAACCACAAAGGAAGATAGCAAGAAATGAAAAAAAAAAAAAAGAAGAAGAAGTTTATACAAAACAACTAGAAAACAAATAAGAATATGGTAATACCAACTTCTTACCCATAAATAATTACCTTGAATGTAAATGAATTATTCTGTCCAACTAAAAGAAATAATGTGGCTTATTAGTGAAAAAAAAAATGGGAGGGAGGAGAGCCAAGATGACCAACTAGACACAGCCAGGAAGGTTATCTCCCACCGGAAAACAAGACAAAGAAGACCAACACATTCTGAGCAGATCTTTGGAAGGAAGAAATTGAGGGTGGGTGGAGGGAGGATGTAGACCCTGTGCTGAATGGGGAGGAAGCTGGGAACCCTGCACAGGGCTGTTAAGCACCAGGACTCATCCCTGGCTCCCAGCAGCTCCTGGGGAAGAGGTGAGTTAAATGTTAGAGGAGTAGCCCACTCTCACTATAAAAACTTCCAGAATTCTAGCTGCAGGCGATCCCATGACCCCCACAGACACTTGATCTGGCAGGGAGAGCTGCTTGGAGAAGTGGCAGGGACAGGACCCCAGCCTGTGCAGAACCCAGGGAGTTTGGTTCAGGAAGAGCTGCAGTGGAGTAAAGCCAGGAGCGCTCATACCCCAAGGCTCCCCACACTCCTCTAGGTGGCTTTGGCTTTTGTTGATTGTTGGACCTGGACAAAACAGGGCTGCCTCGCTTGGGGGGACAAGGCCATTCTGATCTGAGCACCCCACTATCTGACGTATTCTTCTGGGGTTCCTCCCTGGCTACATTCATTTGCAGCACAACCTCAGCTGTGCAACCTGAATGCCTCCCTGTTGCTGCTACCATAGCTCTTTCACCAGCAGACCCTACCTAACCATTGGAGAAATTTGGACTCTTGCCATCATACATGTGCCAATAGCCTCTCCCACCACTTTGTTGGTGCACACTCACCCATAGCCTCCCCCATTATTTTTCTGGTACGTGTGCATGCACCTTGCTGTTGCAGCTTCATCCCTGCTGGTACATGTACACATGCAGACTCCATAGAGCTACCAATGCTGGAACACACCTGGATGCGTGGACTCCAGCATGTCTCCCTGTTGCTGCTGCCATGCGTGCATGCATGGAAGCCAACATGCGGCTACCACCACCACATGTACATGCATGCAGACCTCCCTGCACCGCCAGTCAGCCACTGCTGGTCTGCACGAAGGAGTGCAGACCCTGCTGCCATCACCATGACAGAGCACTTTTGATAGCATGCCCAAATGGAATATTGTTGCCAACATATCAGGAATATCTTGGCCCCTCAAGCACAGCAGGTGCTTAACCAAAGAACAAAGCCATGGGCCTGATTTCAGCCCCCCAGGGTTACAGCATGCAGCCCAGGAATATGAAACCAAGCGTGAACGCCCTAAAATCATCCAGATACAAAGTCAGTTGACTGAACCCAACTTACACACATGGTCAAACCCTCAAAGCATCAAAGAATAAAAAAAAAAAAGCCTCACCCAAAGGACAAAAACTTTAAACAGCAGCCCACACAGATTAGGAAGCACTAGCACAAGAACTCTGGCAACTCAGAAAGCCAGAGTGTCTTCCTACCTATAAATGACTGTAGTGTATCTCTGGCAATGGTTCTTAACCTAGCTGAAATGACTGAAATTACATACTTAGAATTCAGAATCTGGATGGCAATAAAGATCATCGAGATTTAGGAGAAAGGTGAGACCCAGTCCAAGGAATCTAAAGAATCCAATTAAACAATGAGGAGGTGAAAGAGGATATAGCCATTTAAAGAAAGAATCAAACTGGTATAACAAAACTGAAAAATTCACTAAAAGAATTTCATAATACAATCAGAAGTGTTAACAACAGAATAGACAAAACTAAAGAAATAATTTCAGAGCTCAAAAACTGGTTTTTCAAATCAATTCAGTCAGACGCAAAGAAAAAATGCAAAAGAATGAACAAAACCTCTGAGAAATATGGGATTATGTAAAGAGAACAAACCTATGATTGTCATCCCTGAAACAGAGTGAAAGAGAGAGAGCAAGCAACTTGGAAAACATATTTGAGGATATTTTTCACAAAATATTTCCAAACTTTACTAGAGAGGTTATCATTCAAATTTAGGAAATTCAGAGAACGCCAAGAAAATGCTATACAAGAACAACCATCCCAAGACACATAGTCATCAGATTCTTCAAACTCAATGTGAAAGAAAAAACATTGCAAATAGAAACAAGGGGTAGGCCGTCTACAAAGAACACCCTATTAGGTGAAGAGTAGATTTCTCAGCAAAACCCTACAAACCAGAAGAGATTGAGAGCCTATCTTCAGCATTCTTAAAGAAAATAAATTTCAACCAAGAATTAGATATCTATCCAAACTAAACTTTATAAGCAAGGAAGAAATAAAATCCTTTTCAGACAAGCAAATGCAGAGATAATTTGTTCCACCAGACCTGCTTTACAGGAGACTCTTAAGGGAATGCTAAACATGGAAACAAAAGACCATACAGGGCACCACAAGAACACATGTAAGTACACAGACAATTGACACTCTAGGGAAACTACACAATCAAATCTTCTTAACAGCCAGCTGACAACACAATGACAGGATCAAATCTGCACATATCAATATTAACTTTCAATGTAAAGGAGAAAAACACCCCACATAAAAGCATGGCAGGTTGCATGAAGAAAGAAGACCCAACTGTATACTTTCTTCAAGGGATCCTTTTCACATGCGATGACACCCACAGATTCAGAGCAAGAGATGGAGAAAAATCTACCAAGCAAACTGAAAACACAAAACGCAGGGGTTGCTATTCTAATTTCAGATGGAATAAACTATAAACCAACAACAATCAAAATGGACAAAGAGCACTGCATGATGATAAAGGGTTCAGGTCGATAAGAAGATTTAACTATCCTAAATAGATTTTCACCTAACACTGGCACACCCAAATTCATAAAGCAAGTTCTTGCAGACCTACAAAGAGATGTAGATAACTGTGCAATAACATTAGGAGACTTCAACACTCCACTAACGCAGTAGGCAGAACATTAAAGCAGAAAACTAACAAAAATATTTGGGACCTAAACTCAGCATTTGACCAAATGGACCTAACATGCATCTACAAAACACTCCACCCTAAGAACAACAGAATATATATTTTTATCATGGGTGTATGGCGTGTACTCTAAAATCAACCACATGCTCGACCATAATGCAATTCTCAACAAATTTAAAAAAAAAGTCATAGGGACCACACTTTTTGGAACACAGTGTAATAAAAATAGAAGTTCACACCAAGAAGATCTATAAAAACCATACAATTACATGAAAATTTAGCAACTTACTCCTGAATGACTTCTGGATAAATGATGAAATTAAGGCAGAAATCAAGAAATTATTTTAAACCAATGAAAACAAAGATACAACATACCAGAATCTCATTCAGTAGCAGGTTGTTTAACAGAATCCCACATGAGCATCTCAGCAGATGCAGAAAAGACTTTCAATAAAATTCAATATCCTGTTATGTAAAGAACCCTTAAACTAGGCATTGAAGGAACATACTTCAAAACAATGAGTCATCTATGACAAACCCACAGCAAACATACTCAACAGGCAAAAGCTGGAAGCATTCCCCTTGAAAACCAGAAGAAGACAAGCATACCCACACTTACTACTCCCGTTCAACATAGTACTAGAAGACCTCACCAGAGTAATCAC